GAATTATGAAATCCCACCTCTTTGGTACTAGGTTATCTCCAACCCCCCTTGCACTTGCGCTGTTAAAATCCCTTTGCTTTTTGATTATATAGTCAATTATCTTAATTGTTTTTTGTCATAAAACTTTTTCAATTATTTTTAATAACAATTGAGCTTTTTAAGTGATATACTCACTACCTTAATATAAAATGAAAATGGTCTTTAAGTCAGTTATCATTTTATTTTATTTCAATTAAAAGAATTATTCCGTACTACTTCTGTTTAATATCAAAACAACTAAAAATGAATGAAATCAAATTTTGAAAGAGTTATTAAGCTTCGGTTGTTAACTATTAAAGGTAGAAAAACAATCATGAATGGCGTTTATTAGTACTGAATACAAGTATAAAATATCCCTTCCGAATTCAAGTTTGTAATTCTTAAGAATGGTGTTGTTTTAAGGTTCCAAGAGTAAGGTTTAGGTTGATACCCTGAGTAGAGTCTTCGTAAGTGTTAAGGAACCCCGGAGTAAGGTTTAGGTTGATACCCTGAGTAAAGTCTTGGTATGTGTTAAGTAACCCGAAGTAAGGTTTAGGTTGATACCCTGAGTAGAGTCTTGGTATGTGTTCAGTAACCCGGAGTAAGGTTTAGGTTGATACCCTGAGTAGAGTCTTGTTATGTGTTAAGTAACCCGGAGTAAGGTTTATGTTGATACCCTGAGTAGAGTATTGGTGTTTATTAAGTAACCCGGAGTAAGGTTTATGTTGATACCTTGAGTAGAGTATTGGTGTTTATTAAGTAACCCGGAGTAAGGTTTATGTTGATACCCTGAGTAGAGTATTGGTGTTTATTAAGTAACCAGTAGTAAGGTTTCTAGATAGATACCTGTACCCTGAATAGAGTTTTGGTAAGATTTGGGATGTTATCAGGAGTAGAGTATTAGTATGTTTTAAGTAGTCAGGAGTAAGATTTAGTCTGATACCCTGAGTAAAAAATTGGTATTTATTGAGTTACCCGGAGTAAGATTTAGGCTGATACCCTGAGTAAAGAATTGGTTTTATTGAGTAACCCGGAGTAAGGTTTAGGCTGATACCCTGAGTAAAGATTGGTTTTATTGAGTAACCCGGAGTAAGGTTTAGGCTGATACCCTGAGTAAAGTATTGGTTTTATTGAGTAACCCGGAGTAAGGTTTAGGCTGATACCCTGAGTAAAGAATTTGTATTTATTGAGTTACCCGGAGTAAGGTTTAGGCTGATACCCTGAGCCTTGGTATATATTGAGTAACCCGGAGTAAGGTTTGGGATGGATGAATTTACAATTTAGGTTCCGCGTAAAATGTTTATTATCTAGGTATAAAAAGTATTTACTAGGGAACTGAGGTAAACATGAAAAGTAAATTTTATGCCTGCCATGAAAACAGGTTGCCAAATTTTTACTGGAGAAATATGTTGAGAGTAATAAAATGTATTGGCGCATTTATACGCTAAACAAATACTAAACTAAATCTTAGATTTTTTTACACAATATATGAAACATAAACAAATATTGTTGTACATGTTTACAAATATTGTTGTACATTTTTACAAATATTGTCCATGAATACACACTTACATCAAATAAATGAAGCGCACATTCCATGATTTTCTTTGGTATTACAGTCAACCCTCTGATGTTATGTAATAATCCTATATTTATTAGCTCTTAAGCTCAGTATTTTTCACTGGATTAACTTAACAAACTGCCCGTCCTATTACTGCCTATCTGCTTGAATCTGAATTGCTTGAATTAACCATAATATGCCTTGATGCAGCTCAAGAACGTTGTAAAGTCAGGAATTATCTTGCGATTTATAAAACACTGGTTTTAAATTTCTCTGCTAAAATATTCTTCCATTTATTTTAGTTTTCTTTATATGTTTAAGATTATACTTTCGGAACGTTCTTGTATTTTCAAGCTATTTCCCTACACTTAGTTTTCTTGGCATTTGTTATGGAGTGCTGGGAGTTAATTTTTGTTTTCTTTATGATAGTTCCCTGAATTTTAGTCTTCTTGGTGAATGTATTTGGTATGGATGTGTTATGTGGTTTGATTACTAGCAATCAGTGTATCATACATCATGTTTCTTACAGAGAGGTTTTCCAGATCGGGAATCATTAGTACCGTGCAGTCCTGCAGGCCTGAGCTCTGTAAATGTGTTTTGAAGGATAATACCCAATATTATGGGAGATTATACTCTTGTGTGTATAGAGAGAGAGAGAGGGGGGGGAGAAACTTTCTTCATATGTCCCTCTCTATATACCTGCAAAAAGTATAGGAATGCAGGGGGGGGGGGGGGGGATGGAACCCTTTATTCTGTAGATAAGAATATAAATGTATATTTGTTGATTGCTAATCCTAGAATATATTTTAGGCTGTAGATGGAGAATGTGTACCCTGTGATGGACCTTGTCCTAAAACCTGCACCTTCAGTGATATCATCCATCAGGGGAACATTATTCATGCTGGGAATATAAACAGTTTTATCAACTGTACTGTTGTTGAGGGTAGCCTCACTATCCTCGACTCAACCTTCAACGGGTTCCAGCAGATCTACTCAAACTTCACCTTCGGTCCCAGGCACCCCGCCATGGACCCCTCCAAGCTCGAGGTGTTCAGCACACTCAGGGAGGTCACTGGGTTCATTAACATACAGGCGCATCATCCCAGGTTTACTAATCTCAGTGCCTTTAGAAACCTAGAGATTGTCGGCGGACGACATTTGACAGAATATTTCTCCTCGCTGTATATCGTGAAAACCTCGTTGGAATCTCTGGACCTGAGATCCCTCAGAAAAATTCGTTCCGGCGGGGTTTCTATTCTCGAGAATAATGATCTCTGTTACGCTGAAAACATAAATTGGCAAAGAATTATGAAATCTCCTCAGCACAACACTCTACTACAGAACAACAAGGCCCCGGAGCAGTGTATCATTGAAAAGAAACAATGCGACGATCAGTGTACAGAGGACGGATGTTGGGGCCCAGGAAACAAACTCTGCCTCTCTTGTAAAACCTTCCAGGTTGGAGAGGAGTGTGTCGGATCATGTGATGCCAACCAAGGACTCTTTCAGTCCCCCGGGGACCGTCAATGCATGAAATGTGACCAGGAGTGTGACCTGACATGTACAGGAGCAGGACCGGGCAACTGTCACAAGTGTAAACATGTCAAGGACGGTCCGTTCTGTGTTGAGAAGTGTCCCTTGAGTAAGTACAACAACTCCTACGGAGAGTGTCAGGACTGTCACAGGAACTGTGTGGGAGGATGTAAAGGTCCCGCCAACAACATCGGTGCTCTGGGTTGTAACAGTTGTGACAAGGCAATCATTAATCCTGAACTAGAAGTTATACAATGTTTACATGAGAGTGAGGTATGTCCTGAAGGATATTTCTACGAATGGCTTGGTCCTGAAGGCCAAGGAAAGCTCAAGGCTCTGTCTGGAAAAGCTCTGTGTCGTCCCTGCCATCCCCTGTGTAAACGGTGTAACGGATATGGATTCCATGAGGATGTGTGTCAGGAGTGCAAGGGGTTTAGTCAGGATCAACAATGTGTTCAAGAGTGTAGCAGTGACTACTTTGCTGATCAGGAACGGAAGAAATGTGTTCCATGTGCCCGAGAATGCCGAGGTTGTATTGGACCCAGCTCTGCTCAATGCAAGGCCTGTAAGAACTACAAGGTTTACCTCAATGGTGGATACGCCCCAGATTCAGAAACCACGCCTTTCAACTGTACAGAATCGTGTACTGGCGCCCATCCGTACAAGAACTTCCCAGAGAACTCAGCGGGTGTACCCGGAGATCCGTTTTGTTCTGTTGAACCATCCCTGAGCGGTGGAGTACCTCTATCTGCTGAGAACTCTATACCTGCTATTATAGGTGGGATAATTGGATGCATTGTTCTCCTAGGCATCTTTCTTTCCGTCTTTGGATATCAGTGGAGACAGCGGGCTCGGGCTAAAGAAAATACTGCTAAAATGACGATGGTTATGACAGGTTACGAGGATAATGAGCCCCTGCGACCCACTAACATTAAGCCTAATCTTGCCAAGCTCAGAATCGTGAAGGAAGCAGAGTTGAGAAAAGGAGGAATTCTGGGATACGGAGCTTTTGGAACAGTGTATAAGGGGGTTTGGGTCCCTGAAGGAGAGAATGTTAAGATACCAGTTGCTATCAAGGTTCTGAGAGAGGGGACTGGAAATAATGCAAGCAAAGAAATTCTTGAAGAAGCTTACATAATGGCGAGTGTGGAACATCAAAACCTTCTCCAACTATTGGCAGTTTGTATGACAAGCCAAATGATGCTTGTCACTCAATTGATGCCTCTTGGATGCCTACTTGACTATGTGAGGAATAACAAAGATAAGATTGGTTCTAAGCCTCTTCTAAACTGGTGCACCCAGATAGCACGTGGTATGGCATATCTTGAGGAGAGACGACTAGTTCACCGAGATCTAGCTGCTAGAAATGTTTTGGTTCAAACCCCGTCCTGCGTTAAAATCACCGACTTTGGTCTGGCAAAACTGCTGGATATAAATGAGGATGAATATAAAGCTACAGGTGGTAAGATGCCGATTAAATGGTTGGCACTGGAATGCATCCAACAGAGGGTTTTCACTCATAAAAGTGATGTATGGGCGTTCGGAGTCACGGTCTGGGAATTACTGACATATGGAGGTCGTCCTTACGAGAACGTTCCTGCCAGGGATGTCCCCGACCTCCTGGACAAAGGAGAGAGATTGCCCCAGCCTCCTATTTGTACAATTGACGTGTATATGATCATGATAAAGTGCTGGATGCTAGATGCGGACAGCAGGCCTGGGTTTAAGGAGCTGGCGGAGGAGTTTGCTAAGATGTCTCGGGATCCAGGCAGGTTTCTGGTCATACCTGGAGACAAGCTCATGAGACTACCTTCATACACTACTCAGGTAAAAATCCTATTCAAAATTATTATTTTATATCTTTTTTGTTTGTTTTCTAAGAATTTTAAACTCTATTTTTTAAATTTAACATTAGTTTAACTTAATTTTTACATACTCCAGGATGAGAAGGAGTTAATCAGAAACCTCTCCTCCGCTATCGGAGGCAATGAGATTGTGATGGTTGCTGAGGAGTACCTGAACCCTGGGAGGGTGGCCAGCACCAACACCCTCAACACCCCTGTAGATACACCCCTCCCCTCCACCCCCACACAGAAATTTTTCCCGCCAAATTTGCCTCCGCCCCCCTATTCCTCACAGTCCGGCCTAGTTGGGACAACTCACAGAAGTTCCAGGTAATATAAAAATGAAAGAAAAAAATCAAATTTATGAAATTATTATAAATTGCGGATTTTCTAATCTCTGCTTTTTTAGATATGGCTCAACGCCGGGCGTGAATGATGCATTTTCAACTCTTGGATCCAGAAGTCTCAGATATGGATCAACATTTTTCAGTCAATCCTGTGATCCCCTTAAACTACTCGGTGAGTCGGTAGTAGTGACTTGATGTCTTAATTATCTCTTTTCCAAGTTTTTGTTTAATTTATCTAGATAATTAATGAGTTAATTTCTACGGTTTGTATTAGATATACCCTCCCTTAGTATTAGAGACTCTTTTACCAACAATTTTCCGTTTTAAAGCTTTAATTACAGGCTCTGCTAATTAGACAATTCCACAAAGTTTGAGTTTTGACACTTGATAAATATATTTTTTAGTTAAAAAGAAATTTTCTTCTTTCAGAGGACGACCCCGACGGTATGCCAGGACATTCTGGGTACCCCAGCGGAAGTATGTACAATACGACCAGGTCCACCGCCACCAGCCGATCTAACGGCCGGCAACACAAACCTCGGCCGCCGAATGTTGCGCTTCCTGTCGACTCCGACGATTACCTAGTCCCGTCCCCCCAGTCACCGCCCCCTGCCACGCCCAACACCATCAACAACAATAAGAATCCCTACATGGATTTGATCTCTGATGGGAAGAGCGGGATGTTTGTTTACCCTCCTCCGTATCCGTACATGCCGGGTAGGTTGCAGTACACTTTTAATATTCTTCATAGAGATACCCTATAGTTGATATCTTTGTTTTCCTATCTTAAAATTTATCATTTTCAATCGCTGGTTCACTATATAGTATCATATGTATTTTGTAGCATAGACAAGGAAGGCATTTGACAGGATTTAGCCATTTTAATTTAGGAAAACAACAAATCTTGAATGTTACTCAGATAAAGGTTTGCTTAAAATTATGTCGCCAGTCCTCCCTTCAAACTTGAAGATTTTCTATTTTTTTAATCTCGAATATTTTATGATCTTGAGTTGAAGAATTGAACATGTATTTTCTTTTTATCACAGGGTGCTCAGACAACTTTCCACTTCTTGTAAACAATATGAAATTATATCTAATTTTTTATAGTTACTTTATTTCTATTATTTTTACTACTGTCGTTAAGTATTTTGGATCACCCTGGTATATTGAAGTCCAGATACTCGTTTTAACTTGTTTAAAGGTTTTAAATTTTTATCCATTTTAATCTTGATTTAAGGTGGGGGGTGGGCGGTTGGGGACTATACACACTGATATAAAATATTCATTTTCTCCTTTAGTTTTTGATAAATATATATAAGGATTGATTTTATGAATTATTTAGAAGATTTTCACACGAACTACGGTCGACTGGTCCTACCTGACTTTATTCCTCACGGGATGGTTAGCATGGACAATCCAGAGTATATTCTACAGGTAAATATTTAAATATTGGAATTTTGTAGCTATTTTTTATTTAGATATTTAGATGTTTTGGTAAATATAAACATAGATATTAAGGTTTAAATATTAAATATCTAGATACTTGGGTAAATATTTAGATAATTAGATAAATATCTAGATATTGAGTTGAATATTTAGATATTTAGATGTTTTAGATATTTAGGTAAATATTGAGATATTTAATAAAATATCGAGATATTTAAGAAAATATCGAGATATTTAAGGAAACATTCAGATATTTATGTATATATTTATATATTTCAGTAAAGGTTTAGATATTTAGGTAAATATTTAAATATTTAGGTATTTAAATAAATATTTAGCTAATTTAGCTATCTAAGTAAATATTCAGATATTTCGGTGTTGTTAATATCAAAATAATTGCCTGAAATTGAATACCTTTGGCGTTAATTAGCACTGAGTAAATAGAACTTATTACTCATAATTTGGTGCAGATAGTTTAGCTAATTATCTTCTTATCTAAAAAAGCATCTGAAGCACTTAGCAAATCATTTTTTATCTTTAATATTTTATTATTTAACTAAAATCTCGGCTGATAAGAATTTACTGGAACAGGGTGTCAAAATAAATATCATTTTTATATTGTCTTTTCCCTTTGTTTTTTAGCAGTCAGGGTTACCCAAACCTGATGAGACTTCAGAGACGACTGTTTTAATCTCAATCAGAACATATCATTTGTCTTTAAAGACAATTAATTAAACTGTTAGATTGTTATATTAAATTCTAGCGTTTCAGGTTGTTTTTAAAGTTTCATCCTTTATGGGTAACCCCCATTCCTTTACATATGTCCTTTTCAAAAAAAAAGACTTAACAACCTTTCTCATACACTTTTTTTAGTTAATTGGCTGTAGTAAATTTTGTGTTGTTGCTTGGTTCCCATGTTTATGTTACTATAATGACTAATTTAGATTTCTTTTTTTAAACAATTCTTTTTTTTTCAGGAGTCAAAGCGACGTGGAATGTCTAATTACCAAACCCTGGGTATTCCAATAGTACCCTCCCCTACCTCCTCCCTGCCTGCCCCGCCCTACACCTCTCTATCCAGCACTGGCTCCTCGCACACCAACCAGACAGGGCTCAACGGAGCTATCTCCGGGAGTAACCCGCGAAGCTCCGACGGAGAATCCGATCATGAATACTATAACGATCTGGAGAGGTTGCAACGGGAGATGCAACCGTTGCACCAACCCCGAAATGAAACGACAGTTTAGATGTCGAGGGATTAAACAATGAACCGACGCTAGTGCGTCACTAAAAAGTGCCTTTTAATCTTTCAAAGATAGTGAATAACGGAAGTTTGATACTTTTTTCAAAAGTTTTTGTCATCTCCGTATGAACTACCAATGGCAGGCGAAAACCTGCCTTTAAAAAGCTGTGATATTTAAGATTATTTTTAGCTCAAACATGTTCTTCAGTATTTATACTTTATAATGTTTCCAACGTAGCGTAGTGCCATATAGATACTATAGGCAGTTTATTCAGACAATTTACATGCAGACTCTCCTCATCATGTTTTAGAGAGGATTTATCTAAACAAATACTATCGTTTTGTTCATAGTTATTCTATTCATATATAGTAAATAAATGTTAGATACATTAAATTCTTGTTTATTTTTTGTACCTTCTTGTAACTAAATGGATTATTCGCACAAACTATTTTTTAAAATTGCAATCATTTAGAAATCAAGGGGTAATTAATTCTCTTTTCAAAGTTGGTATTTTAGGCAATAATTTAGATATTTCTTAAAATACAGGGTTAACAACAAAGTATGCGAATTCAGAAACAGCTGTTGAAGTGAATATCATTTATTTAGCCTTTCATACATGATTGGTTTTTAGCAGTTACAGGGTGTCCCACGAAAAATAACTGTTCGTGAATAGTTTATGTCTTCTTTCATAATTTGATAAGTTGTTTGATACTAAAGAGACTAATAACATTTTTTATATGACAGTTATATTAAAGTAAAATTGATTTCACAGTAAAATATTAATAGACTGCAAATAGTCTTTAAAATCTATTGCAGTATGTGGAAGAAGACATTTACCAACTGTCATGTTTCGTGGGACACCCTGTATATTTCTGTTTCGTTTCTTGCAAAATAATTGATGGGTTAGTAAAAGCTATATTATATCTTTAAAAAATTAATCTTTACAGTTCAAAAACAGGAACAGAATCTCTGCTTTTACTACGGCATGAAGTTTATTAAGTCTTCTAAAGGATCCTCTTAATTGCAGTTATGATCTCCAATTGGAGATAGGTCAAGGGCTAAACTCATAACTTTGAAATGAATAATTCTTTCCTAAATTATCCATAGGGCGGTATGAAGACGAGATCCGTCCTGCTGAAAGATTACTTAGCTACTAAGTCCAGGTTTACTGGACAGTTTTTTTACTTAAACATTTTACTTTGAGCAAATATATTTAGCAAACAAGGAAGAAGAGTGTGAGAGAATTTTCAAAAACCAAAAGTCATTTTCTGAGATATAAGGGCCCTAATCTAACCCGCAAAACCTTATGATTCACCCTGTAAAGTACAGTGAAACCCTTAATAACGAATACATCGAAAGAATTCATCAAATGTCGTATCCTTCACATTCTGATGATGGAATGTTGCAGATATTTAGTTTTTTAATTAAATGATTATATGGAACTCTTTAAAACTGTTCCCGCATATTCATGGATATTTATTTATTTTCGCAAATACTGAAATTTACGTAATATTATAAAACTCATTGAAAAATTGTCAAGACGACATTTGATAAATTCTTCCGATGTATTCGTTATTTAGGGTTCTCACTGTACCATCAAGGCTTTTTAAAGGGACTAGAATTTAAAGATAAACATACCCGATTCACAACGGTACCATTGTCACTTTTTTCTGATCAATACTGTGTACTAACTCGTCCTGTTACTACCTTGATAATTAGTGTTTAATTCTGATAATGCCTCCATTGTAGAAATTTGTTGAAAACCCACAATTGAAAGTTAGTTTTTACAAAAAACATGGATATCTAATTAATACTTGATCACACAAAACTATTAAGTGCAGGTACCATGTATCCTTGTGATTGTGAATATGACATGTTAATTTATAAATAAAGAGGACATTGAAATTACGGCTATAGTCCCTCCCTTTCAGACTGAAAAACTAATGTTTTCATTAAAATCTCATCCTTTGTGGACAACCCTGCATAAATTCTTAAAAACACAATTTATTTCAAAAACAAAAAAATATTTAGAGAGGGGGGGGGGTGAAACATAAATTGAAAAAAGTACTAACTCCACTTTTTTTCGAACAATTGAAAGTAAACTGCATTGATCTGTTTAAACCAGTCCAGACATATTGTTCTCAACCATCTTGAACAAATCGTAAATTGGATATTTCAAACCATAAATTCTGTTTGATCTAATAATCTAAGTTTGAAATATCAAAGGTTTACAGTACAGGGTGTCCCAATAAACATTGGAATTCAGTGACGAATTCGATATCGTCTTTTCAAATAATTCTTTGATTTAGTACATGGTGACACCTACTGCACGTAAATTTAACGGTTCTGTCAATTTTCCAGAAAACTGTGACTTTCAATCACAATTTGTCTTATTAAATATATTTTTTTGCCTTGTTTTTGATATATTTTTTTGTCGACATATACTTTTCAAATGATAAGTATTAAACACACAAATCCGTAAGTTTGAAGATTGTTTAATATAGATCAAAACACATATGACTTACTTTAAATCGAAGAAACCGAACGCCTCTCACTCTGGTTAGTCCGGGGTGACTAAGAAAGCTGTAATCCATAAGAGTTTCGTCTGCTATGTTCACATTTTGTTTGTTTATGTTTTGACTGCATACGGTTGTACTTAAAAAACAAGAAAATTGCAGTATACAAAGTAAACTTGTCCGTCTTCACTGTTCAACTTGCGGAGACATTATAGACATATCTTTGTAGTCTTTTACCCTTTTCATAAAATAAACTCTAGCAGACATATGGCTTTTGAAATTAGGTATTACAATGCTAATTCATAACAAAGACGATATCGAATTCATCACTGAATTCCCATGTTTTTGGGATACCCTTTACCATTAAGTTTCTAATGTTAAATCTGGAAAAAACCCATGGGGGGGTTTTTTGGTAATTTTATTTTGGAATGTTTAAATTTTTAATGTGATTATTCTTTGTTCAACTTTTCCAAATTACTCCTTTCTAATGTTGAACATTGTTTGCTTTATTATGATTAAAGGGAGTGGTCTGCTTATGTAAGGTAGTTGAACTGAGTATGCAGTGTTGTGGAAAACTTCTTTAGGATTCATTTGAGACATATTAAAACTTATTAAAGATCTGAAAATCCTGAGTTTGAGCGCAAATTCGACGTTCAAAACTCCTACTTTCGGGGTGGATACGTTTTCAGAATCGGTTTTTTTAAATTATTAAATAACAACTAACAAAAGCACCTTTTTGGACGTTGAAAAAAAAACTAATGCAATTTGTATAGGTGGATCTGTTTCAACCAATCATGATGTATCTTTTACCAATCTGGAAGCAATCGGAAATTTGATAAATATTGAGTTTCCAGGTGTTTCATGGCAAAGCACTGGCTCATTTATAACTTAATTTTTACAAAATTGTTTGTATATTATAGTTTTTTGATATTTTATATTTTGAATTTTGGTTTTCTCAGATTATATATTCCATATGAAGTATGAGACACGTAAAACCTAGTATGATCATTTTAGGTATTTTTACACTCTGGATATAAGAAAATTTAAAGAAGTTTTTCTGTCTGATTATTTCAATCCTAAACTTACTAGTTTCTTAATTCAAATTAGAGCTAGGATCTATATGCGCGTCTACAGACCGACGATGAAAATTATTTCTAGGGTCAGGGGCGGACATAAGGATTCTGTAGGGGGGGGGGGGGGGTAAATATTTTTAATTTTTTTTACCCCCCTAGAAATTTTTTTACCCCCCCCTAGAAAAATATCATGATGTATATCAAATTATTGGTTTTAATCGTATTTTAGGAAATTAACTCATAATATATATATTTTTTATTATAACCAGGTCCAGTTGTGTGTGAGTGAACTTTACTGAAGTAACCGAAGTAAAAGTTTACTGACTGTTTAGGCATCTGCAAAATGCCGCAAAAACTTTTACTATCATGAAAATAGTCGTCTTTACACAAGTGCAGACTAATCAATAGGGAAAGTATTTTTTTTTTTTTTGAAGGGAAGGGGTCAAGGCAACTGGAACTGTTACTTGTAGAGGCAGCAAATGGAGTAACCCCTGATATTCAGGGCCTGAATATATAGAATTCTAGGGAGGGGTATTTCCCCCCAGGATTCTAGGGGGGGTATTTACCCCCGGATTCTAGGGGGGGGGGGTAAATAACCCCAATAACCCCCCTTATGGCCGCCACTGTCTAGGGTCGACTACGAAAGTAGTTGTTCTATCATTTAATAATAAAAATGAATCTTGAACGCGTTTTGGAACATAACATAACAATCCATATATTTGAGACTAATCGACATTTCAAAATAAAACACACTTTAATTCAAAATTAGTATGAATCCCTCGATATTTTTCAACTTAAATGATTAAAATAAACTACTGAATTTATTTCAGAATTTGTTTCCTGAAAGAGCTTATAAAAAAATTGATTTGATTTCTTGTTTCCTGCATTGCAAATATTTGATTTCTTGTTTCCTGCATTGCAAATATTTGATTTTTTGTTTCCTGCATTGCAAATATTTGATTTCTTGTTTCCTGCATTGCAAATATTTGATTTATTGTTTCTTGCATGGCAAATATTTAATTTCTTGTTTCCTACATTGCAAATATTTGATTTATTGTTTCCTGCATTGCAAATATTTATTTTTTGTTTCCTGTATTGCAAATATTTGATTTATTGTTTCCTGCATTGCAAATATTTGATTTATTGTTTCCTGCATTGCAAATATTTGATTTCTTATTTCCTGCATTGCAAATATTTGATTTCTTGTTTCCTACATTGCAAATATTTGATTTCTTGTTTCCTGCATTGCAAATATTTGATTTATTTTTTCCTGCATTGCAAAAATTTGATTTCTTGTTTCTTGCATGGCAAATATTTATTTCTTGTTTCCTGCATTGCAAATATTTGATTTATTGTTTCTTGCATGGCAAATATTTGATTTCTTGTTTTCTGCATTGCAAATATTTGATTTCTTGTTTCCTGCATTGCAAATATTTGATTTCTTGTTTCCTGCATTGCAAATAACAATTTTCCACACTACTATGTTTAATTAATTCCAATGCAAAAACAATAGAATATCAAAATTAAAATTTCTAACAGCGGTTACTGGTTTTTATCAATACATTTTTAAATAACAAAACAGAACTTAATTTTTATATTTTTATTATTTTATCGTCTTGTATTTTATACCTTACTCAAAAGCTTGTTTGGTCAAGTGTAATTGATTTAAATCTGTAAACTAACTAATATGTGGTAAAATTTCTCTGAGATAATTGTAAAACTTTATGAAATCTTTAATCTTTAATCACTGAATAAATATTTAGATCTTAAAAAAAAAATTTAAAAATTTGTGTTAAAGTTTTTTTATTTTTGTAAAATTTTAAAAATGCGCGAAAAAATAAAATGAAATCCGCAAACTTTTTTGTTTTTTGTTTTTTTACTGTACAAAGAGGAGATGCTCACAGATAAAGCCACAGTTAAAAGTTGAAATAGACGCCCTAAAAGCCTAGTATTAAATATATCAATATGTAAATTTCATGTCTTTTAAGAACAGTATGTTAGGCGGCTTTTTCTTCTCAGCTTAAATAAACAGACATAAAAAGTAAAAAAAAAGATAACTTCGTTGCTCTGGCCAAAACCGGTGCACTTAGTTTCAGATCTGGGCCAAATCACGGCTTGGTACTTTGCTCTCCTGAAATACTCTGTTCAGATTGTAGTATGCACATTTCGAATCAAATATTAGAGATTTGAATAATAAGAAATATTTTTGAATCTGCAGGTGACCGACCCTCCACCCCCCCAGGGGCCACAAGAAGCAATCTCGCTCAACTGTCCATGACGTCACGTCTCCCCATATTCCTTTGCTTTCACAGAGCTCATCAGTTCAATCAGTTTATTCCTACATTACACAATATATAGAATATTGTTTACATATAGCTAGGAGATTGTTTACATATAGCTAGGCTATTGTTTACACATATCTAGGATAGTGTTTACATATAGATAGGATATTGTTTACATATATAGGTAGGATATTGCTCACATATAGAGGAGATTGTTCACATATAGCTAGGATATTGTTTACATATATAGTTAGGATATTGTTCACATATAGATAGGAGATTGTTCACATATAGCTAGGAGATTGTTCACATATAGCTAGGATATTGTTCACATATAGCTAGGATATTGTTTACAAATAGCTAGAATATTGTTCACATATAGATAGGAGCTTGTTTACATAGCTAGGATAATGTTTACATATAGCTAAGAGATGAGATTGTTTACATATAAAGCTAGGAGATTGTTTACATATAGCTAGGAGCTTGTTTACATATATATAGCTAGGATATTGTTTAAATATAGCTAGGATATTGTTTGCATATAGCTAGAAGCTTGTTTACATATATATATATATAGCTAGGATATTGTTTACATATAGCTAGGATATTGTTTAAATATAGCTAGGAGCTTGTTTACATAGCTAGGATAATGTTTACATATAGCTAGGAGATTGTTTCCATATAAAGCTAGGAGATTGTTTGCATATAGCTAGGAGCTTGTTTAAATATAGCTAGGAGCTTGTTTACATAGCTAGGATAATGTTTACATATATATATATATATAGCTAGGATATTGTTTACATATAGCTAGGAGATTGTTTACATATAGCTAGGAGCTTGTTTACATAGCTATGATAATGTTTACATATAGCTAGGAGATTGTTTCCATATAAAGCTAGGAGATTGTTTACATATAGCTAGGAGCTTGTTTACATATATATAGCTAGGATATTGTTTAAATATAGCTAGGATATTGTTTGCATATAGCTAGAAGCTTGTTTACATATATATATATATAGCTAGGATATTGTTTACATATAGCTAGGATATTGTTTATATGTATAGCTAGGAGATTGCTTACATATAGATAGGATATAATTTACATATAGCTATGAGATTGTTTACATATAGCTAGGAGATTGTTTACATATAGCTAGGAGATTGTTTACATAAAGCTAGAAGATTGTTTACATATAGCTAGAATATTGTTTACATTATAGCTATGAGATTGTTTACATATATATAGCTATGAGATTGTTTATATATAGATAGGAGATTGTTCACATATAGCTAGGAGATTGTTTACATATAGCTAGGATATTGTTTCCATATAGCTAGGATATTGTTCACATATAGATAGGAGATTGTTCACATATAGCTAGGATATTGTTCACATATAGATAGGAGATTGTTCACACATAGCTAGGATATTGTTTACATATAGCTAGGAGATTGCTTACATATAGATAGGATATTGATTACATATAGCTAGGATATTGTTTATATGTATAGCTAGAAGATTGCTTACATATAGATAAGATATTATTAACATATAGCAATGAGATTGTTTACATATAGCTAGGAGATAGTTTACATAAAGCTAGGAGATTGCGAAATGAATATTCTTTTAAATGCATAAAAATATTTTGAGATGAATTATTAAGTAACTAGCAATAAAAGGTTTAAGTAAATCAACTTCTATTATCCATTTCTTTTCAGAAAACAAATGTACAGTACAAAATAAAGTGAAAATAATTGCACTTATTACGCTTAAATAGTACTAGTTAAACTAGCAAATTGTTCAATTACAGTTTTTTGTGTGGATCACTGTACGGTGTACTGCACGATGTTTGACAGAGTGTGGGTGACGTTTACCCTGTACAACTTGTTATCCTTGGTGTTTGGTGTACTAGTGACCGGCGTGGGTAGCTGGCTAGTGGCAGACAGGGGGTCACTCTTCTATATTACACAGGGACATTACATTATTTATACTTATAGAATAATTAATTATTATTAATTCGTTTTAATTATCATAAAAAAATACTTTTATTTTCTTACTGATGTCATACTATTTTATCAGTATTATTATTATTACTAAATCTATCTGTTTCTATATGTCATACTATTTTATCAGTATTATTATTATTATTAAATCTATCTGTTTCTATATGAATCAAGTTATACGAAAACTCTAATGAAAGTTACATAGTATTAAAATTAAATTTCTAAACAGATTATTTTCAGCAAATACGGAACTAATCTGAAAATTACGAAAACCCAGAGGAGCCTCGACAAAATATAGACGCTACTATTTTAATTTTAATTTTTCATTTTTAAGTTTCCTTTAAAATTATACAATGTAAATTTGACTTGCCTTTAACCTTAACAGTCTCTGTAAGTAAGTTTTAAATCGCCTTACTCCAATAGTACTTTAAGTCTATATCAATCCAGATATAACTCTCTCTGTATTCTGAAGTATATATCAAACCAGATAAAACTCTCTCAAACTCTATCCTCTCTGAGTATCTACCAAGAACTATTACTTAATACCGTAATCAATAAGAAGATAATATTCAACTAACTGTATTTGGTAAAATATACAGATTAAGATTAAACTGACCGATAATACGGTCAGGTCATTATGATGTAATATATATATACTGGTATAGGTTCAGGTTTACAAGATATGGGGTTTATTATTACTATATTTTTTACATATATCACAATTATTCGTATTTTTTAAATTTTTAATTCTTGAAAAACCTGATTTGAATTTTTTCAGAGTTTGCAAGTTGCAACAATGTAGTAGCATATGTTAACTATGCTATTAAATAAACATTAAATTACAAGAATTTTTATTTAATTGAATTATCGTTCATAATTAATGCTTTCAGAGAGGATTATTATTTTTATATATATATTGAAAAATTTTACTTCAATTTCAAATCCTTTTATGCGTTTTCCTCAAGGTTCACTTATTTTTTTAATATTTGATGACTTTGTTAGAAACTACAGGGTTGCTCACTCTGGATGAGACTGTAAAGACGACCCAAAACGTTTAAAATATGACCATTTAAAGCTTAACATTTGGTTTCTCCCTTTTAATTTAGTAATTTAATGGTATGTTAAATGATTTGGCACATAAACAAGCAAGTTTTGACCTTCAAGAAACCCTGAATGTAATAAAAGGGACTGAACAAATTCCGTGCAGTCGTCTCTGAAGTCTCATCCTTGTATTTAAATGTTTTTATGATCTATCAAATGTTTTAAAATTAATTTTGAATTTTAAATGTCATTAAAAAGTTTGTTTGATGCTAACATGAATTCTTTGGGGCTGTTTCGCTCTTTTGTACAGGGTGTCCCACGAAACATGACAATAGGAAGACGACTTGAAAGTCGTCTTTGGTATTTGAATTTATTTAGATATCTGTGCCTTCCTTCTCCTCTTTATAGGACTATCAATTCTCATACAAAGCATAGGAAAAGTTTCAAACAAATCATATCTTCAAAACACAAGAATTTATTACAAAAAAAAAATTATTTTCATATTTTTAAACCATTTTTAGTTTCACGGACATAATAAATCGACATCGAAATTAAAGGATTAAAGCAGTAAAAACAAGAATGGAAAATGACAGAATTTATACATATTCAAGATAGAAAAATATTGGTTTCTAGTATTTTAATTTCAATTTCCAATGTTTGAAACTGCTTGTTCCAGCTGGATTGAGCAGTGGGTGCTGTGATGGATATGGAAGACGATGTTTAGTTGTTTATGGAACCATCCTACTCCTAGCTATACTTGGAGAAATAGTTGGAGTCAGTCTTAGCTTGCTTCTCTTCAAACAGGTCTTAATTAAATAGTTAGAGTCAGTCTTAGTTAGCTCCTGATTAAACAGGTCTTTATTGGATAGTTGGAGTTACAGTCTTAGTCTGCTCATCTTTAAACAGGTTTTTAATGAATAGTTGGAGTCAGTCTTAGTTATCTTCTCTTTAAACAGGTCTTTCTTGAATAGTTGGAGTCAGTCTTAATCTTCAAACCTAGGTCTTAATTGAATAGTTGGAGTCAGTCTGAGCAGTCCACTCTTTAAATAGGTCTTTATTGAATAGATGGAGTCAGTCTTAATCTTTTCCTCTTTAAACAGGTCTTAATTGAATAGTTGGAGTCAGTCTTAGCAGTCCACTCTTTAAATAGGTCTTTCTTGATTAGGTGGAGCCAGTCTTAATCTTTTCCTCTTTAAACAGGTCTTTATTGAATAGTTGGAGTCAATGTTAGTCTTCTCCTCTTTAAATAGGCCTTTCTTGATTAGGTGGAGCCAGTCTTAATCTTTTCCTCTTTAAACAGGTCTTTATTGAATCAGTCTTAATCTTTTCCTCTTTAAACAGGTCTTTATTGAATAGTTGGAGTCAATGTTAGTCTTCTCCTCTTTAAATAGGCCTTTCTTGATTAGGTGGAGCCAGTCTTAATCTTTTCCTCTTTAAACAGGGCTTTGTCGAATCAGTCTTAGTCTTCTCATCTTTAAACAGGTCTTTATTGAATAGTTGGAGTCAGTCTTAGTCTTCTCATCTTTAAAAAGGTCTTTATTGAATAGTTGGAGTCAGTCTTAGCCTTCTCATCTTTAAACAGGTCTTTATTGAATAGTTGGAGTCAGTCTTAGCCTTCTCATCTTTAACGAGTCTTTATTAAATAGTTGGAGTCAGTCTTAGCCTTCTCATCTTTAACGAGTCTTTATTAAATAGTTGGAGTCAGTCTTAGTCTTCTCATCTTTAAAAAGGTCTTTATTGAATAGTAGTCAGTCTTAGCCTTCTCATCTTTAACGAGTCTTTATTAAATAGTTGGAGTCAGTCTTAGCCTTCTCATCTTTAACGAGTCTTTATTAAATAGTCAGTTAAATAGAGTCAGTTTCTTAAAAATGCTAGTCTTAAGTCTTTAATCAAGTCGTCGTGGAGTATAGTTGGAGTCAGTCATTTTATAACTGGAGTTCTCGACCATGTTTGTTACACTTGTTTTTAGTTGGAGTCAGTTGCCACCACTTTTTGTGATCAAGATATTGTCATACTTTTATAAAGAATTTCAAGCAATTTATACTTACATATTATCAGAATAAAATTGCGTTCACTTATACACATTTTTTATTATCATAACTTAACAAGTTGTTTCAAGTTTGTACATTTGTACCAGACAAATTAACCTAACATTAACCTACAAAAGATTTTGAATTATGAAAAATGTCAACTTTTCTATGACTGAACTATTATTGTTTTTTTTAAGGAATTTTTTTGTTGAAAAGATAATTATAATAAGTTTTGCAGGAAGTTGGAGATCTTTCAAAATCAGTTTTAGTGAGTTCTTTAGAGACTGATTATTTAAATAAAGGTAGATACTAGATAGTAGATATATAATTATGTAATAGAATATGACAATATCAATAATTTTAAAGTTAACAATGATAATTGTAATAGTAACATAATAATGATAGTAATGATTACAATGATAATAAAAATAAAAATAATTATTCTAATAACAACAACAACAACAACAACAACAACAACAACAATAACAACAAAATAATAATAATAATAATGAGAATATTAATAATAGTAGTAGTAATTATAATATTAACAATAAAAATAATAATTAGTAATGATAATAATGATACTAGATAGTGGAGTATCTATAGTATGGGATGGTATGATGGAGAAGCTGGGTTGCTGCGGGGCGAACAACTACACGGACTTCAACAACGTTTACACCACCTTGGGTATTTAAAGTAACAACCAGTACACAGCGGAATGGAATGAAAGTCGTCTTTACACAGTTTTATAACTCTGAAATTGTTAATTGATTCAAATTACATATTGTTATCACATTTCTAAATGAAAGACAATGGCTTATTTCATTTACCGGTTATAATTTTAGAACAATAATAAATTAAATTTTTTTTATTGACTCACTATAAAAGGAAGAAAAAGTCCATTATTCTTATCTAAACATTTTCTAAATTTAAATCTGAAAAGGAAGATATTTTTTTTTTTAAATGTGGCGCTTTTCAGAAATATTATTTAACAACAAAATATCTATTTAAACTTTTATTCGGTTTCTGTCTTGTAATGCTCAATAAAGAGGTTAGCAACGGCGACAAGTCAAAAGTCCATTTTTAAACAGAACAGGGGCGTACGAGGGGGGGGGCACTGTTTGCACGTGCCCCCTTACGGATGCCCCCTCTGGGGGGCACGCATAGAGGGGCCTCAAATATGAAATGATTTTATATGATGTAGGGAAAAAAAGAAAAATGGTACGCTAAAAGGCAACTTAATTCATTCTTTTTTAATATTTTTGAAACAAAAATTCAGTAATTAAACCCTGAAAATTTGTATGGCGCTTCTGTAATTTTTTTTAGTAATCAATAAAGAAAAGAAAAATTGGACATCAAAATGCAAGTTTTCAACTTTTTTAATTCTTTTTAACCTAAAATTCATACCCAAATATTCAGCAATTAAAACCCTACACATTTATTTGCTACTCCGCGCAAAACATAATTTTTGGTGTTGAGAGATTTTTCAAGAAAGGAACTTAATTTTTGTCACGAACTTAAATATTCTAATCCCTTTTTCTTTGAAACCTGCTGGTGTAAACCGTATTTAAAACTTAGGCGTTTTCATAGTTTTCATAGAATTCATAGTCTGACATATCAAAGATCTACGACATCGGGTTGCACAGATATAGGGATTATAATTTTGTAGTTTTTGGCAACATCTCATTTTCTTTGCTCCTCTGATATATAATCAACAAATATATGTGTTCTAAACCAAGCAAAGTATAAAAGATATACGGTTCTTTAAATAAAATGTAAAACGAATCAGTACTTTTGTCAAAATAAGGGTTTTAGGGAGAGTGCTCACAAAATCGTCTATGGGGTGCACAAAAAAAAATTTGGCGCGCATGAGACACAGCAATTGTGCAGTGCAAACAGACCCATTTCACAAAACTAGTGATTTGAATTTTCTAGTAAAACTATTTGCTTTGTAACAAAATCAATTACATTAAGTATTGCTAAAATGTAGTATTCCTATTCCATTGTTTTCTAGTTATCATTGTATAAATTACATTTTCCAGGAGGGCAGCAGATACCTAAGTCTTGTTGTCGTCTGTATGAAGTGGAAAATTTCCTTGTACCAATCGATGAGAGCTGTACAACTAATCCAACCGAGTACAACGCCTACCTTGGCGGATGTTTAGATATGTTGGCGCCCAGCGCAATTCCCGCGTTGGCAATTACAACGGGAATAGTTGTCGTCTTCCAACTAGCTGGCGTTATTCTATCTTTCTGTTTAGCAAATAAAGTAGTCTATATAAGAACGGAGAGCGTATATGAATTAACTCACCTGTAGAAAAATTTACATTTTTTACATTGACCCTTCATAAATGAGCTTTAAATGCAACGACGGCTTTCAGAATAAAAAAATTGTAAGAAAAGAAAAAAATGTATCAGACACGGTTTTTTACTGCCCTATATCTAAGGATAAATATATAAGCCATAAGTTATTAGCTTTTAAGCCTTACCTGAATCCCTTTTATTTGCAGACTATTGTTTTTATACAAATATAATGCATTGGAAATTATTTTAAGTGTAAAAAATTATCAGTTACGATGTTTTAGCTTTGTGGCAGTTTTGTTAAGCTTAGAAAATTTTTGCTATTCCGAGTGTAGAGTACGAACAAATCGTTCTGGGGAAAAGAACAAAAAATCATTGTGAAGACGACATGTCCGGGAACAGATATTGAACTATTTCAGGACGGATTCGAAAATTTATAGCAATACTCTCTCTGAAGTTGTTTGTAGTTTTTGTATAGAATAGTCATAAAAAGTTTTTGTTCTTTTCTCAGGGTCCTGTGTCGGTTTATCCTTACTCGCAGCTTGAAATCGTAATTTTTCTCGAAGTACTCCCAAGTCTCAAAACGGTGAGAAAAATCATAAATTTAGAAATGTATCTTTAAATATGCAAAAGAAAGATCTCATGTTTGATGAGATCAAAGAATCAACAAATCATTCAAATATTATAAATATTTTTATCAAAACCATTTTCTATAGTTGAACTTATTTAAAAATCAAATATATTATGTTTATAAAATTGTTTTGATTAAAACATAATTGTATTGAAACAAATAAACGTGCAAATATCATTAGACCCACATTTTCTATGATAAAGCTATACTCGGTGGAATGTAAAAATTCATCTGTAAAATTTATTGGAGCACAGGAGCAGAATTCAATAGTTTTAATTCTTAAATTTATAATTTGAAGACCTGTACCTACTTCTACTCCAGTGCTCCAACACATTTTGTTATAGGTAAATTTTACATTTTTTATCATATTGTATGTAATTTGTACAGTGACATTACTAACTGAAAGTCTTGACAAAGACGACAGTCCTTTCACATTATTCTTTTTATTATTTCATATTCTAGAATGAATTTTAAAAACTTTGTAGTAATTTTTTAGTTATTCATTTAATGTTTTAGGGTTTTAAGCAAAGTCAAAACGACTTAAAATGAAATGATAATAATAATGATAATAATAATAATAATAGTAATAATAATAATAATAGTAATAATCATAGATAAAGATAGATTGCGCAGAAGACGACATTTTTCATCTTGAAAGATATAAATGTACAGAGATGTTTTAAAGATATTCCTATTATATACAGAGCGTCCCATATCATATTAGATTATCTCCAATCTTTAACACCAAAATAAACCCTTAATACTCGAAAAACTTATCATTTTCCGCAAGAAAATTCGTATATAAGCCTTATGTTATTTTTCAAAATGATTCATTCTAATGAAATTTTCTAATTAGTCCCGAAAATCGTAATTTAGACCCGTTCTCGGTCTAATATGATGTGGGACACCCTGTAGATTAACTAGGTCGGTTGTGAACATTGGCGCTTTTCTTATGTCATTGAGTACTTGTGGTGTACATGAGTTCTGTAGAGAGAAATTTAAGTTAGTTTAGTCCTTCTCATGTTCTTCTTCAGTTCTCGTCAATATGATATATTGCTCAGTGAAATATTGTTGATCAAATAGTTCCATTCCCGGAGTTATTTTACACTCTAGTATGAAATCCATTAAAACATGTTTATTTATTTATCTATGGTAATAATAATAATAATAATATAATAATAATAATATTAATAATAATAATAATAATAATAATAATAATAATAATAATAATAATAATAATAATAATAATAATAATAATAATAATAATAATAATAATAATAATAATAATAATAATAATGATAATGAAAATAAAAATAATAATAATAATAATAATGACAGCATTATAAATTGTCCGTTTTGATATCTGAAAGTCACAATCAGAAAACTGTGGAATGGGAAGACGACATTATAGCATTGCTGAAGTCTATTTGATGTTGTTTAAAGCTTTATACTTGGCAGTTATTAAATTACTTATTAAGTAAAATGGGTCCATATATGTTGCATAATTGCTGTGTCTCATGTTCAATCCGCTATTAAAAGTTTGAAAGTCGACTTCCTATTCCAGAGTTTTATGGTTATCACTGTAATTTGTTGTCATTATTGTTATACAGAGTCCGTCCCATATCATGTTGTATAATCTCCGAGTTTTAAATCCAAAGTTCTTAAAACCCTTGTATTTTCTGCACACAAATCTTTTATCACCCTTTCAACGATTCAGTATTAAATAAATTACTGTTATGCCCCAAAAATTAAAAATTTTGTCATGTGGGACACCCTGTTTTGAAATCTGAATAAAATTCTTAATTTCTCCGTCAATCCAATTTGAATTAGTTATTTTTTTTGTAGTCCGAATACTAGGAGTGTCGGTTAGTATATATGATTGTCTTACCAGAGAACAATAGATAAAAGAGAGTTCAAAAATCGTTACATAAATCCCATTTACTTTAATTACAGAATATTTCTGGATCCATAGAATTTTCTATGTGAAAAGTCTTATATTTTAGCTCTGCACTAGTTCTATTACATAGAAGACGATATTCGAAAGTAATTATGGAAGACGACAACGAATACGAGACCATAAATATCTATTAATAGTAGTAAAAATAAAATAATCTTAACATGTAATTTATCAACTCTATATTCACTTTTAAATTTTAACTCCAGATATTATTATATTTATGTCTGAATTCACTATACGGAAAAATTAAAATTTGAAAAAAAAACATTAAATGTCGTCTTACTTCACAAAAATTTTAGAATATTCTATCATTATCTTAACACGGAAACACTAACACTTAAAACATGAAAACACAAAATTGATACTATGATACATAGACAAACATAAGCTAAACACATATAGAGACATCTTAAACACAACGTTGACACTGTGATACATAAACAAACATAAGACACCCTAAACATAAAGAGACACCCTGAACACAACAACCGAAACACACAACACACACTTTCTAATTTAAACAAGTAAATCCATTCAAACTCTTCGATCAACCATCAATATAAAAATAAACCAATCACAACTTGACGGAGGGTTTATAGAGTGGCATGTCCGATTTAAAACACTGTACCCTAAATACCGTAATCAGCACAATTATGTGGAAAATATTGTCCTTTTGCTAGCTTGAAAATTGTTTAATTCTGATGATTGTCCACATTGTTTCCCGCTATAAGATACCATTTTACAGAACTTCATGAAGTATGAATGATTTTTCTAAGATGTAAACCTTATTATTGATCTGACAATTAAGGGTGCCATTGTGAATTGGATATGCCGCTCTACAACTGGAGAATCACTTGAAATAACGAAAACAGTCCCTTTAAACACATTAAAACACCAACTGAATATGTTAACATATAGTTTGACACATCACACAACCTCAACACACTAACACACAAACAGAAATTATGAACACCGAGAACAGATAAAATACAGCCTAAACTTATCAGCATCCGACCAAATGTTAATTGAACCCATGAATTTCCATTTTAACCCCATTACCATTGCAAACTAAAAACAGAAACTCAACTTTTATCAGGAATATACAGAAACTGAACACATGATTTCAACACACAATAACTGAATTTCTCAACGCAAAACACACAATTACTGAAATTATTAACGAACAAAGAAACACACAAGAACTAAAAACAAAAAGCACAAGAACTGAACAAAGAAACACACCAGAATCAACTGAACAAAGAAACACACCAGAACTGAACACAACACACACAAAAATTAAACACAAGAACTGAACAAAGAAACACAAAAGAATCAATTGAACAAAGAAACACACAAGAATCAACTGAACAAAGAAACACACCAGAACTGATCACAACACACACGTAAAAATTAAACACAAGAACTGAACAAAGAAACACAATAACTGACAAGAACACTAAGCGCACAAGAACATCGAATTTGAACACACAAGAACAAAACTGAATTCAAAAACACTCATTCTGATCTTGACAATGCTAAAAAAATTATAAATATGAACAATAAAAAAACACATTTTAATCTAAATATTTATTATTATAGTAATACTGTATTATATTTATTATGCTGTGAAATATATAAAATAGAAAAATCGGAATTTTTGAGAAAAGTTTTTGTACGAGTATATAATTCCGTCAATTGTACTGTTTTATTTCGCAACCTCGTAAAAAATATATTTTTGCAAAATTTTGATTTTTAAAGATTTGTTTAGTTTGGCTTGATTTGTTTGTTTTGACTAGCTAAGTACAAAAATTTAAACTCTAAGATATAGAAAAGGGGTGAAAATGATTAAATGTGATTAATAAATATTAGGATTGTTCAATCTAAAAGTTCGCGGATTTACAGTCCTAAACTTTGAGATTTCTACACGACCCAGTATACTGTTAAAGCTTGATTTACCACTGCAGGAGATAGATTACAAGCTTGTAAAAAACAGAGCTAATGAAAATATAATAAACTTAGCCTAAACATCTAACATTTAAAACAGGGTTAAATAATTATATCAATAATGCAAAATTTAAGTAAAATTCATAAATTAGATGAATTATAAAAAGTAACATAAAAGCTGTAAAAAGAAGTAGAGACCAAGGCCCCCTATTGCAACCGTAGCAATGACTAGAAAAGGCATAAATCATTTTGGAAATATGAATTTGAAAAATCCTAAAGTTTGTTATCTTTTAGAAATACTAGATCATATAAATCCTAAAAGTTTGACATCTTTTAGAAATACTAGATCATATAAATCCTAAAAGTTTGACATCTTTTAGAAATACTAGATCATATAATTCCAAAGAGTTTGAGATCGTTAAGGAAAGCTGGATTATGTTAATGCTAAGAATGAATCCTATCAAAAATTTTATAATAATCGACCAAAAAAGGTCTGAAAAAAACTGGAATGTAAGAGTATGAAATACTAGATTAGACTAGTAAAATGATACAAAACTACCCGACTGAAAAAGTGTTTAAATAATATAATTCTGCTGATGATTAGAAATCTAGTTTTTTAATGAAATTGAAAATGTAAAATTACTCAAAAACTTTTTGTGCGGGTAGTGGATAAAATATCTATGTACAATATTAATACAATTGTCCAATCGTATTTACAATCTATGTGCATGCCCGTTTTTGAGCATGCACAATGGGCAAAGATGGGTAACTTTGGGCACCGTCTGATATGATTATTATTTACATTAAATCCTTAAAATTAAACTAAAGCTCGACTAGAAGAAAAACTTGCGACTTTTTTGCTAGAAAAAAAATGCGCGGAATGTGTGTATATGGCACCAGATGAATCCAGTGTGTAAAATCTGTAAAATACAATTTTGTGAGCGTTGATTTTACAAACATGGGACTAGAATTATCCCTGTTATTATAACTAGTTTAGTATAAAAATACAAATGTAGAAGAATACATATTTGCTTTAAGCATGGATAGGAAATATATACAATTTAAATTCAGACTTTTTTTTCAATTTGTTTGTGAGAACTTTAACTGTGAGATCCTACACCTGCTTCCGTAGGATTGAACGGTTTGGGTCGATATTTAAACTCCTCAGCTCCGGGTGTAGGGGAGAGCAGAGGGGGGGGGGGTTCCACTTTACTCCAGGGGGATTTAAAGGGAGTATTGATCCAAATATTGATCCTTGATTGTGTATTGATAAATC